CACTGAATTCGGCGGAATATTGGGCAAGAGTTGTTCAACAAACCACTTTTCAAATAAATCGGCTGTCATATCTTCGTGATAATCGGCAGAAGACTTTGTTATATTTTTGGCCGACAATAGCAATGCATTAGATACAAAACCATCTTTGCTTCCGGCATGAAGAATAATAACACGTTTTCCTCGTGAACAGGGTGTATTTAATGCACACTTGTTTGTGTTGTCAACCCAGCCGTACTTGACAACATCATGCGTATCGAACCAGGTTTCATCTAAATAGATTATGTTTCTGTTTGAATTACGATACTGTTTTATTTTACTCAAATACTCTCGTCGAAGTTCAACAATACGCCGAGATTCCATTATTACCATTCGATTATCTAATTTCTTATATTTAAATCCACAACTTATCAAAATCTCGCGCAGTGTTTCCAAAGATGTATAATTATATTCAGGGAAATCTCTCAATTTTTCACGAATCAGTTCTAAAGTAGGCACTCTATTTTCTTTGTAAAAATTGTAAACTGTTCGCTGAATAACGTCTTTTGCAGCAGTGTCAATCCTACCCAATTTTTTATTTGGTCGCTTTCGTTTTAAGGAATGATCTGTAACAATGCCTAATTTAATAATTGTATATATCGTCTTATACCCGATTTTTGTTAATACATGAATTCTCGAAACAATTGCATTATCAGCCATCAAAATATTTTCTTTTTTCAAACACTCATACATATTTAAAACTATTCTTTGGGATTGTACGTGCAAATCTTTATTTTTTAATTCGGGGCTGTCATTAACATAATTGTCATTATCTATTGATAACACAGAAGTTGATGCATCTTGATCATTCGTATCAAATGGTCTCCAAAATGCCATCCTAGAAAAATATAATATTACTTACCTTATTATCCGCCTCTGATAGCTGCTTGCAAAATGAACTATTTAGGGTGTCATATAGCCAGACAAACAGGTGTTCCATCAAGATTTATTGCGATGCGCTTCGCTGTTGCCAAGTTTAAAATTATTGAATGTAACTTTAATACCATAATTAATATATCTGCAATTTTTCATGTTTCCAGGTAAGGTATAAAATCAATAAAATTTGGAAAAAAATAATACAATTCTTGAAACCGTTTTTCAGAACTTGGATTCTTAAAAGTTGTCTGATTTCTTAAAAGTCGATCATTATATCTATAAGAGTATTACCGCTAAATTCACCAACATGGCAACGTCGATATAGACCGAACATCGAAATCACCTCGAAATTCTGTCCAGACTACAATGTTGCCGATATTCGAAAATTACTTAGAGTATAAGTTATATATACAAAGTTCACAGTTGCTTTAATTCATTAGTGAAGAGTCCATGGAAATATTAGTACCTAGTTAATTAATTTATATAGATATATTTTTTGAGAATATGTTCATATTATTTTTTAAGAGTGTCGTTCGTTGACTAGCAATTGAATAATAACGAATAGAGAATAGAGAATATTTTTTAAATATAACCTTAGGAATTTTAGGAAATATGTCTGACAACCTTGATTTGAAAGGCGGTCTCTTTGAAATCAGAGTGAGGCATATTTATGTTGGAAAATTATTAGTGGATGTACTATACCAATATTTTTGTACGATATTAGGCCGCAAGTAATTATTTTTATATTACAAATGTTTCAAAACCTCGTAACCCTCATAAATACGCATGCCCGAAAAATAATTGGACCATAAAAACATGCACCATTTTAATTTCATAGCAAATTAGGTGACAGGGTAGAATTTGCACGAGCTAATGATATCGAGTATTTCCAATAAACATGGCATATTATGTTTCTCTAATCTTAAACATTCTAGTTAGTCATCGCATTTTTATTTTATCTCACATTGAAAGATATAATAAAACGACTTTTTACGACTTTCCCGTTTTCACTGCTGATAAGAATTGCTGTGTAAAATGTAAAATATTTACATTGCACTAAATTGGCTGATAAATAAACCTTTTAAGTACTGAAAAAAATCTAGACGGCAAATAAATAAATAACAAATCAATGTATGATAGAAAAATAATAGGATTTTTGTTTTAAATTCAGCAAAATATGAGACGAAAATTCATTGGGACAAACATTACCATGAGGTTTTTTGCATAATCACTTTCATAAAATACCGCAGAATAATGTTCACGAGGTGGTCCATACAAAAAGTGGTCCTAATTTAATAAAAAAGTTTTGTATAAATCCATTTTTAGGTTGTGATAAGGGCCTCAAACAACTAAAAACAATGTTTTAAAATCAAATAAGCCCAAACTAAACTATCAGAAACTGATAGAACAAGGTTTGGTGAGTTCAAAAATAATTGTGTGTTTTTGACCCTTAAAAATCATAATTTTTCGTTTTTTTTTCAGTTTTAAATTGATTACGTTGAAAATGATCAACTTTAGAGAAAAATTAAAACAAACCTTTTTTATTCGGAATGATCCAAAACACCGAAAAAAAAAATTGTCCGGGCAGATGAAATTGATTTATACAATTGTTTAAAAACAATAATTATTGTTTAAACATATTAGAACTACTCCTACTGGTATTATGTTTTAAGACGAAATAAGTTAAATATAAAGTTATCAATTAATAAATAAAAATATTAAAGCTATTTCACTAACCGTTTGTCTCGCTACGATAACGCACTGAAGAGAACTTCTTGTTGTTGGTAATGCCTAATATCATTCTTTCATTTGTAGATCGACGTCACTAAATGATTACGTCAGGTCCACGACATTATGAATTATCTTTACGTTATACATAACGGTAAAAAATGTCTGACCAAAATGCCCCCTCCCCTGGAGTGGTAAGTTTACCTTACCTGTGTAGTCTTGTTATTACATATTGAAGTAATGATTTATATGTGATTTATTCTAGGTCAAATGACCCCTTAAAAATGTCCCGTGGGCTTGTAGTCTAATAATACAAATCACTATTATTAAGACTGCACTGAATGTCGCCAATTTTAATCGCCACCTCTCTTTCATGCTTGCCGGTTTTAGGTTACTACTGTAAGTCCTTTTCTCTTTCGTATATATTATTTCTAATTTTATGTTTTAATGGTAAGCCCAACACAGTTTTCATTTTGTTATTCACATACGAGTCTCTTAAGCTTGCAGCTCACACTTCTTTTTGGCGCTTGTCGATTAGAAAAAAAGAATAACCAATTCAATTTGTTTAAACCAATTTCGTAACCAAGATAAAGGATATCAGCTACTTCATATCCTTTTATTGAAGACGTTTCGTGTATTAATTTATACGCATCATCAGTTCATCTACAAATTAGTTAAATAAGCAAACATCCATAGACAAAACATTTGCACATGGTTTACCTTACAAAATATATGCAACATAATACGTTGAAAGTGAGAGAAATAGCTTAATTTATTAACCATACCATGAGAAGGTCATGAATGAACCGTTCACAAAGATCTGATCTCTTCGAAGATCCGTGATTAATGCAATCACATTCTGTGACCCTACGGTTCGAATGACCCTATGAGTCATGCCTATGAATGACGCTGTCTTGTGTTTACGAAAGAACTGTGTGATCGCGACACGTTGCTCGGTCAAATTAATGCATGAACCGCGAACGGTGCGAACCGCAAAGGATCATTCAAACGCTGATTTCAGTTTCCCAGAACGGCGAAACCGTTAGGCCGTTAAGCTGCAAAACTGTAAAATTGTATACATATACATTCGAATTGTCGAGTCAATAGTCCCCTAGTCTGTTCTGTTTCTAAATTTGTGGGAAATAAAATCCATATTATTTGTTGCATTATCATTCTTTCTTCAACATAACAATATGGAATTTGTAATTTTACTTAACTTTTTCAAGTTTTTTTTATATTTTAATGATTTCTGAAGATGATTTGAGAAATACAAATCTTAATGTCAGCCTTAAACTATATTTCATTCTTAAATTTATAGTAACAATATCGAAGTCTACATGTAAACAACAATATAATTAAAGTCGTTGTAATGAAGGAATCTTGTCAGAGCTAATTTGATATTTTTCCAACCTGAGTCTATGTTGTTATAGTCTTCTGTCTGTGTTAGAGCGATTTTTATAGTCTTTTGAAATTTTTGTTCTGTCTCCTTATTACATAGAACTTCGGTATTCCATATTTGTGTTGGTGTATTCTTGTGGGTTTTTTTGGACGCTATTCTTGTCCTTATCTTCACTTTTACCAGAAAATTATCCGTGTCTCTATCGGCTTCTCTTAGGCTTCTTACGTCTAGACAGTTACTACCCCTCCTGGCATCTACTAGAACATGATCGATCTGATTTCTTGTGACGCCGTCGTTGGAGACCCATGTTTGTTTTGTGTATTTTCTTGTGTTCGAAGTTATTAGATGTTTTATATTTAATTTAAATAATATAAATTATTCGTTTATTGCATTTATTAGATATTAACAATTTAATTTTTACTGTTCATTTCCTAAAAATATTTTTGTCCTCGTTAACTTTTATTATGGTAGTTTTAATTATGTTTATGACAAGCACTTTTTCTTATTCTTAAACTTATTAAAAAGCTACACTCTTTGCCTTTAAAACGCATCTTGATTTTTGTCGATAGGATACTTTGATCAAAAGATCGAATTTTTACCGTTGAGCTGATATATATTTTATTGAACATTGATTTCGCGCACATAAATGACATTCAAAATCGACGGTCGCTTCACGTGTTGTTTCTGAGAGAATGGTTCATTCTACACAAAAAGTGATAATCTTGGTAAATCGATTTTTTTTCGTTTTTATGTAACCCCCCTGCGAGGGGGGTTATAGGGGGAAGCCCGTGGGTAAAAGTGGTACACTTTTTTGCATCTTTTTGGGGTCCCAAAATTAATATTCTTATGATGTTCATATAATTTTTAGAGGTTGAGTGGCATTTTCGTCTCTGACGACTCGTGTAAAATATTTACCAAAATAAGTAATCTTCTCAAATTGACTCCCCTTCTCTCTTTTTAGTCGGCTCGCGTGACGTCAGCTAAGAGGAAAATAAAAGACGAAGAAGATGACGATGACGATTTACCTTTGTCTGCTAGAAAAAAACCGAAGAAAGAAGTCAAGGAAGAAAAGTCCAAAAAGAAGAAAAAAAGAAGTTACGATGACGAAGAAGATTGTGAAGAGGACGAAGAGGAGGATTATAAACCGGCGAAAAAGAAGGCTACCAAGAAAAAAGAGAAAAAGGTTAAGAAGGAAGCTGTAAAGAAAGAACAAGTAAAGAAAGAAAAGGCAGAAGTTGATAGTCCAAAGAAAAAGAAGAAGGTCGAAGAAGAGCAGGAAGTTTGGAAATGGTGAGTATTTTTTCTTATTTAACCCTACGCTAGTCACACTGTTATTTTGTTAATGATTGTTCGCACTGTATCACAGAGCATTTATGATATGTGATATTTTTACTATATTTGATAACGTAATAGATCGTGGTTTAGTTTAAACAAATAATTGCAACTGTTCATATTGGAAAATATGAGATAAAACTTAATAAACAAGTCTAGTCAATTCTACTCACATATGTTTATCCACTATAACTCTATAAATCATTAGAGCATTTAGGGCAAATAATGCTGATGTGATTAGAACACATTCTAAACATAAATATGATGTACGCAACATTAACTGTTTAACAGCAACATTACATCGTTCTCAGCTTGTTGATGTTTCCGCTTTAACAACATGTTCCTGAATACCCAGTATATTTTTTACCCAATTATATCATAGCTGCTTGCAGCTCGGATCCTAAATGATCTTCTGCTGGAAGACCAATTGTTCTACAAATTTTCAACGTAAAAGATGTTTAGAGGGGTGTACACACCTCTCATGTATTATTTGGCTGTTGGCCAGAGTCTTGTGTTTCTCTCGCTGTTATAGTATATCTGTCTTATTTTGCTTATCAGAAAAAGCACTGTTGATAGATTATAGCATATTCAGAAATGGAGTAAGATTAATCACAGTTTCTGTTGAAGATATAAAAATCTTCCGTATCAGTGGTGGTGTCTAATACAACTCATTCTTCTCTAGAATTGTTATCAGAAAATTGATATTAAAAAACGGAAATGTTGAAGGGAAAAATGAATATTTCAACCTGTTACTTTTTCTGTCTCCTGTTTCTACTGAGGCGATGTGCTTCGTAATAGCTTTTTTGTCTTTACTATTTTACAGAGAATGTTGTTATTAACTACACATTCACTAGTGCTTTTGCCACTATTTTGTCCCCCATTGCGAAAATAAGGTAATTTCTTCTTAAATAAAAAATATTTTCGTTAGTTTTAACTTCACGCTGTTTATATTCAACATCGGTTTCGTAAAATTGTCCTTTATTTAAGACTTAATTCATAAAGTTGCAGACGAGCTTATTCTTGCTCATAACAATATATTTTTCAAGAAAAACACGATGATTAAAGTAAAACATAAAAACAATATATTTACTACCTATAGTCCTATAACGTCGACTGGGTTAACATATTTCTCAGATCATAAGATGTATTGCTTCGACGGATGATAAACCTTATATATTGAGACCATGTGAACACACCCGTATTAGAGGACGACTACAAAAACGGTGGCTAGACGGAATCAAAGCAAAAGTGGGGAGAAACTGGCATCAAATAGCACAAAACAGAAGAGTGCAGAACTCATGGGGAGGTCTTTGTCCAGGAGTGGGATGCAAACAATCAACACGAAAAAGAAGATTTCTTCGATAGCCGCATTGAATCTCACAGATCAAATTTTAATAACTTCGGCTATAAAATCACTATGGTATGAACTAGTCATGCTTAGTACGTGGAGGGAAAATGTTTCTTGATATATACCGCAAATCTCCGAATTTTATCTTGATGTAGACATAAATTTTAATAAAATTTGTAGTTTTTCTGCTCCTGTTAGAATTTTCAGCATATTTCCCTAAATCTTCTGTAAATAAATTTGGCAACCGCGGCAACTGTGTATTAACCTGACGCGAAGCCATGGCCATGATTTTGATAATTGACACATGACATCATTACCTCGTGTCCATTGCTGTTGAACGAATGAGTTTGGTTATGTTATATTATTCTTGAAATGTTACAAATACTAAAAACTAAAACAGTAATAATTTTTCCTAACTTTTGTTATGCTTAGAAAGTTGTGTTTTGAATACAAAAACCAACAACTATTTAAATGTTGTGTAAATTGTTTACATGTATCCGAATTTAAAAACAATGTTCTATATAAAATTAGATTGAAAACCTCTCATCCAAAGCTTATCAACAATGATTCTTCAATGTGTGATATATTACACAGAAAGAATATTATTCAAATTGATGACTTAAAAAAAACTAAAGCTGTGATAAAAAGGTACTGTCATATATTTTTGCCACTTAAGTTTTGTTATTTTGATATATAAACCACTCCTATTTGTTTTTAATTTATAGGAATCTTTCAAATTACCTAATAATGAAATTTTCGTTATTATAAGTAAAACTTGTAAGCTTTAATGAATAACCAATCATTGAGCTGCAAACTTAGCTCTGTATTGTTATTAATTTCATATATCTTGTATCTATTTAACATCAGAAAAATGCTATTTTTAACTTTAAATAAAAGCTATTATTAATTTTTAGGTGGGAGGAGGAGAAGAAAGATGATGGTGTCAAATGGACATTCTTGGAACACAAGGGACCTGTATTTGCCCCAGATTATGAGAGACTACCAAAGAATGTCAAATTCTATTATGATGGAAAAGAAGTGGAATTATCAGAAGATGCTGAAGAAGTTGCAGGATTCTATGCAAAGATGTTGGATCATGACTATACCACCAAAGAAATATTTAACAAAAACTTTTTTAAAGACTGGAGAAAGGTTTGTTTTAATTTTTTTATACAGTCCGCAATTAGATTTAGTGTTTTTACTAGTACTTACAAGATTTTCTTTCAATATGCACATCATCCATCTTTTTTCTTTAGGATATGAAATATATAATTTTCTACTGTTTAATGTTCAACTTAGTTAAAGATATTTTTCTTTGAAATCAACAGGTAATGACAGATGATGAACGTGCCCTTATAACTGACCTGAAAAAGTGCAATTTTAAAAAGATGCATGCCTATTTCATGGATGTAGCAGAAAAAAATAGGAACAGATCCAAGGAAGAGAAAAAAGCCTTGAAGGAAAAGAATGAGGCTATAGTGAAAGAGTATGGTACTTGTGTTATTGATGGGCACAAGGAAAAGATTGGTAACTTTAGGCTGGAACCTCCTGGTCTTTTTAGAGGTAAGTTCACATCAATATAGTACTTTGTGAGATTACATTAAAAATTTGCTTACCTGAAAGTTACAAATATTTTATAGGATTTTTAATGATTACATTTTTATCAAGACCAACAACTTATTTATTACTTTTTATTATTTAATATCCCTAACAGTGTATTTTAAATTCATACAATATTAAAGTGAAGATCATCATCATTATCAGTAGCTTGACAACCCTTTCTGGGTCCTGGCTTGTTCTAGGATTTTCCTCCGTTCTGTTCTGTTCCTTGCTTTGTTTTTCCAGTTAGTAATCTTTAGGGTTTCCACTGTTCCATGTATCTAAGTTTGGGTCTTCCCTTTAACCTTCTCCCTACTAGTGTTTGCCTCATATGTTTTATCGTTTTAGTCTCCAACATCTGTTCAACATGGCTTATCTAGTGCAGATGTCCGATCTTTATGGATGTTGTGATCTCGGGTTCATTGTATGCTGTGTATAGTTCAAAGTTATATCTTTTGCTCCATATTTCATTTTCCTTTACCCCCTTATATATGTGCCTAATGATTTTTCGTTCAAATGTACCTAATAGGTTCTCATCGCTTTTCAACAGCATCCATGCCTCTAATCCATATACAAAGACCGGTTTTATCATGTATAATTTGCATTTTGTTTTTCTTGTGATGTTAGATCTTAGATGTTTAATCTTAGATGTTAAATCAGTCCATTATATGTTTTATTAGCGATATGTATTCTTCTCTTAACTTCTTCACTGATATTGTTATCTGCAGTAACTAGTGAACCTAGATATGTAAAACCTTTTCATGCTTTCTATGTTATAGTCTCTTATTGTCAGATTTTGCTTTGTACTTTAAGTGTTTCTTTTACTATATTAATTAGTTGAGTTGGAATATCAAACTCCTTCAGTGCATGGGTCAGAAATTCTCGATGGATGCTATCATAGGCACTCTCAAATTCAATGAAAAGATGATGTGTGTCTATATTAAATTCACTAGTCTTTTCCAAGATTTGCCTCACTATTTGTTCCGCATATAGTCTCAATCGGTCATACACAATATTTGACAGTATTTTATATGCCACAGTCAGTAGTATTATTGCCTGGTAGTTTTTACATTGAAGCTGATCTCCCTTTTTATGTAGTGGGGTAATTACTCCGGTGTTCCAGTCTTGTGGCAGTTGTTTATTATTCAATATGTTCACTATTAGTTCGTATATTGCATTCAATAGGGAGTCTCCACCTTTCTTTATTAATTCTGCGTTAATGTTGTCTAATTTAGGTGACTTGTTGTTTTTCAGTCTGGTAACTGCTTCTTGCATTTCAGCTACTGAAGGGGGGGTTTTTCTCTGGTATCCATTTGATCCAGCATAATTCCATCATATAGTGGATCTACATTTTTTTTCAAACCTTTCTTTGAAGAATTCTGTACACCCTTGTAGTATTTCACTCTGTTGAGTTACTATATCTCCTTCTTTGTCTCTACACATCATTGTTCTTGGTTTAAATTCTATTCTACTTTTGTTAAATTTTTGGTAGAATTTTCTGGTTTCTGATGGTTTATTTAGTTTCCTCCATTTCTTGGATTTCTTTTTCTATGTGTTCTCTTTTCCTTCTGCTAAGCATTTTCTACTCTTCCCTCCTTAGCATTCTGTATTCCTCCTCTGTCTCCTAGTAAAACATTAAAACCTGAAAAAAATTCTCTTGTCATATACTAAAATGGGAAACTTTGTTGATGAATAAGATATTTTTTCAAATTTTAAGTCAGGTTGTATACTTCTGGTGCATTCTGATCCATTATATCAAGACAATATCTCCAATAATGCACTATATACTATGTATAGGCTGCATTGCAATGTCATATTTTTGTGGTTAAAACTTTGTTTTTTTTTTCATTAACATTTTTTAATTTTTAGGTCGAGGTGAGCATCCCAAGATGGGCAAACTGAAGAGACGACTCAATGCTGAAGATATAATAATTAACTGTAGTAAGGACTCCAAAATACCAGAACCTCCTCCTGGACATAAGTGGAAGGAAGTCCGTCATGTAAATACTGTCACATGGTTAGTTTCTTGGACAGAAAATGTACAAAATCAAGTCAAATACATTATGTTGAATCCTAGTTCCAAGCTGAAGGGAGAAAAGGATTGGCAAAAGTATGAGACAGCACGGAGATTGCATAAATCTATAAATAAGATTCGAAATGAGTATCAACAGGTATGCATATACTTTTTTTTTAATTATTTGAGTGTGGAGGACCAAAATAATCTGTTAAATGGTAAAGTATGTTAAATTAATTTTTTTCTTCAGGACTGGAAATCGAAGGAAATGAAAGTGAGACAGAGAGCTGTAGCTTTGTACTTCATTGATAAGCTAGCCCTCAGAGCTGGTAATGAAAAGGATGAAGATCAAGCTGATACAGTAGGTTGTTGTTCTTTGAGAGTTGAGCACATAGAGCTTCACGAGCAAAAGGATGATAAGGAATTTGTTGTAGTGTTTGATTTTCTTGGTAAAGATTCCATTAGGTAAGTGTAATGTATACTTCTAAGTATCTCATTAATAATTAGCAATTAGTTATTAAATAAGAGTATATCCTGATATTATCATTGATTTTTTAGGTATTATAATGAAGTACCAGTGGAAAAACGGGTGTTCAAAAACTTGGGTCGGTTTATGGAAAACAAAAAACCTGGTGATGATCTCTTTGACAGACTTAATACACAAATTATGAACAAACATCTGAATGAACTTATGGAGGGTCTTACTGCTAAGGTAAGGGGTAAAATATTACATATCAAATAATATCACAAAAAAATATTTATATATGAAAATATACTTTATTGATCATAGACTTCTCTAGTAGAAATAGGCCAGTAATAATGTAATGCCTTAACAGTAAGAGATAAATTACAATTTACAGTCTTTGATGTAAGAAAGGTGAGGAAAATCATGTGGAAAGAGAAAATAATGCAACACGAAATTGTTCAGATTTTTTTTACCCCCTACATAAAAATAATTTTCAAATTAAAATAAGGCACTCTGGGAAGGAAGTGAAAGATGAATTATTTTTAAATGTCTTAACTTTCTTTTGGGAAAGTTCACTGCTGTCAATTGATGTCAAATCAGTACTATATCACGGCAACAACACTTTCCATTATTACTTGTATTCTTTATTGGTTTTTAATTTTAAAGCAATAACTTTTTAAAAATATTTATTCTTTTATAACAATACTTTTTCTAATAAAGTAATCTTTGACTTATTGAGTTTTTCGAGGATCAGTGAATATTGTCCAATATCATTTCTTAGCTCTGATTTTAGTCATATTTTTCAACGATCCAGTAGTTCATGCCTCATGAGTGCATTTTATACTTGCAGTTAAGAAATAAACTTTTTCCTTCAAGATTGTGATTCCATCTACTAGCTTGTTTTAGAGGTTTACACCATCAAAATTAGATGCTATAGTAACAAACTTATTATTGTTCTCCAAAAAAAAAAAATTTCTCCATTTATATCAAACTGAAAATCATCATGATCCGTGAGTGTATTTACTAAGAAGTTTGATATCTTTTATAGGACATTTCGCTTATATATATTTTCCCTCAAGGTTTCTGGTGTTCGGTATTCACATTTTTGTGTAAATAAATTATTAAAAAATACCCAGTGGCTTGCAGATTCAGCAATGCAGTCTAACATATCAATTACTACTGTTGATCCTAAGTTGCTATCATTTTTAGTGATTGTTTTGCCAGTATAAAAGTCAAAATTATATCATTATCCACTACTTGCACAAAAATCCCAAAATTTGTAGCTGAATCGAATAAACTTTCCACATATAAATTACTTCAATGAGTTATGTTCATAATATTTCACAATCATTTAATTTATTTCGCAAGATTAGTTACTTGCAGAATAAAATCTAAAACCTTTTATGCAAATCTCAATAAAGAAATTTAAAATTAAATAAAATACTTCGACTTACATATAATTCACATTTAACAGAATACTGAAGTACTGCATATTTTGATGACACCAAGTTCCAGTGTCATACTTATAAATCAGTAAAATAAAACTTAAGATGACGATTCAACAATTTATATTTCCGAGATTTATTCATGAATATAGTTTATAATAAACATTAATCAACAAGAATAATCCAGTAAACGATAAAAACCAGTCGATATGAAACTTTTATTATTAAATATGTAAATCTAAATGAACTCTAAAAGTTAAAATAAATTTTTAGGGTTAAAATAGAATAAGATTTTCAGTAATATATGAATGAGTGCCTATAATGGGTTTATGAACTAATCACCATTTATGAAATCCACATTTAAGGATGGTATAAAACCGTAATTTTATCTGAAACCGTGTATTTTTAACTAAACATTTACTTTTGGTTTTAGGTATTCCGTACATACAATGCTTCATTTACACTGCAACAACAATTAGATCTATTAACAAACGAAGATGATTCAGAAGCTGAAAAAATTTTGGCCTACAATCGAGCCAATAGGGCAGTTGCTATTCTGTGTAACCATCAGCGGTCCGTGCCGAAAGGTCACGAAAAATCTATGGAGAAATTAAAAGAGAAGATCGATCAAAAACGGGAGGCCATACACGATGCAGAGAGACAGGTTAATTTTTCTTTGTTATTTATTGTGCAAAGTGGTTAATTATTATCGAAGTTCCTTATAGGTTTTTATTTAGTTTTCCTTTATTTTTATCATTTTTTTAATTGTTAATATCTTTGGCCTAATTTTGCTTAATTTGGCTTAATCTATTCTTTTTTGTTTTTTCTTTAAATGTGTTATAATTTTCTTAATTATTCATTTTTTATTTTTATAATCGTATCTTTTTTCATGTATTTTGTTTATTTTCTCTTTTCTTTACTGATTGTCAAATTTTCCCATTTTAGGTAAAAGAGGCCATCAGAGAAGCGAAGCACGGCAGCGTCAAAGAAAAAGTAGTCGCCGACAAAAAGAAGAAGCTCCTCCAACGTCTTAAGGACCAACTCGCGAAACTCGAGATCCAAGAAACTGACAGAGATGAAAACAAAACCATCGCATTGGGTACCTCGAAGCTGAACTATCTCGATCCTAGGATTAGTGTTGCGTGGTGCAAAAAGTACGACGTTTCTATCGAAAAGATTTACAATAAAACCCAAAGGGATAAATTTAGATGGGCCATCGATATGGCAGGACCGGATTACCGATTTTAAGTTAGGATTTTTGTTCTTTTTTCGAAAGAGTGTTTAGTAGACTTTAAAACTGGAAGGATCAGAAAAATGTATTTAGATCTATCATGACGTATTGGCTTTAATATATACAAGGTGGTACATAGGACAACATCTTTTAGTCAGTGGTATAATTTTTATTCATTTTCAACAATTGAAAATGAAGGAACAGAGACATCTATGTATGGTAGCTGTATAGTGTTATTGATTTGGCACATGGTAGTGCTTGTTTAAAATCTTTAATTTGACTATTTTGTAATTACAACTCCATTTGTACAAAATGAATCATACTATATGATCTTCTTCATATACATCTATTCATCATATCATATATATCATCATATCATATACATCTATTCATCATATATACATCTCTTCATATACATCTTCATACTATAATAATTTTGATTTATTTCATTAATACAGTATAGTGTGTATCTTGTTCACACCCTTTCGATCGTATTGTTTTTAAACATATAACTTAAAATAACTTTCTGATAATGAATTCAGCCACCTGTACAATGTTTTAGTTCTATTCTTCTTCTTACTGTGCCTATCTGTTCCGGATGTTGGCCATTAACTTGGCTATCCTTATTTTGCTGGCAGCTATTCAGAATGTTGAACCATTTTCTCGAGTTCTAGAACCATATACACTTAGTCCTGAAGAACAAGTTGTAACAAGCCATATCTCTGCTTATTTCTCATAATATGGGCCATTATAAGGGCCCATAACTCTTTTATGGTCTTGACCTTCCATATCTGGTAGGATACAACTGTTAATATTCCTTTCTTTAGATCTGCCATTTGATTTTGTTTGCCTAGATTGATCGTTTGATCTAGGTATATATGCTCTTTGATACTTTCGATCTCACTTTCATCTAGGTCTACTGTGATATATTGATTTGACATCAGTTTTGTTTTATTCAAATTCTTTTTTAAACCAATTTTCGCAGATTCTAACTGAAGTATGTTTAACATAGAGTAGTTCATCTGTATTGTTGCTTAATATCGGCAAATCTTAGTTATCTGGCAAAAAATCTGCCATCGATTTTAAGTCCATACGTCATTTGAAAGCTCTCAATATGTTCTAAACTTTTGTGCGATTATGTCACACAAAACTCGTCACTAGTGTTATAAAAATGGATTGTGTTCACCATTCAAGTCATCACGCAATAAAAAACAATGAAAATATTGTACAGATTTTTTTAGTTCAGTTATATAAGCTTTTGTCAATTTTTGTTTTGTTTGAGAAAATAGTTGAGTAAGGGGGCAGACACTCACTAATAACTATTGGCGAATAAATAGACTAAGGCATAAATTATTGATGAACTTGAAACATCTGAAAAGATTTCTTGTCTTGGTTGTGTTTCTGAAAATGACTTGGTTTTAAAAAGTGACAGGCCCCAATAGGGCGAAGCCTACATAGAAATAGGTAATGATAGTCATCAGTTTTGCATGAAAACCACAAATTAAAAATGGTTGGACGTTTACAGATTGTACCAAATTAGAGTAACAATATAAATGATATATTTTAAAAACTATGACACTATTAATTTTTTTCTATAATAATTGTAAATATTTTAAATGCTGACAGTTGACGAACTAAAGATTAAAAAATTCCCTAAAAATTATGAAGTCACATATAAATTCTCTGAAAAGAATATGCTTCCACAATAACTGTATATTTCGAATCTTCAGTTTTATCATTTATGATTTTATATTGTTTCTCCAGTCTGGGCGTTGTGTATCATTTAATCATTTGTTCAGCATGGTGCAACGTATATGTATATGTACGGGTGATCACGAAAACTCCCACTTGTGCAATTATTTATTGGAGGTAATAGTATATAATTGGTTTATGCATGAAACCTAAAAATGTAGATATTTTTATTTCATTTGTTTGTGCCTACCATTTTCTTGATCATCAGTACACATACCACCATCAGAGCCATTATTTTCCAATCTTTCGGCGATGAAAATATATTTTTTCTGATTCTCCCTGTATAATTATTTTTCCACCCACCAGGTATCAGTATCACGGACTTTATTACTAAATTCGAATTGTCATCCGCTTGTCGAAGTGGGACAATCGGTACACCAATTATTTTTAAGATTAAATTATTAAATTAGTGACTTTTAAATTTTTACTTAGTGAATTTCTTTTATTTTTGTGAATGTACGTCATTTGAGGTATTAAATATCTATGTACAGATAATGTAGAATTATTTTACGTTGGGATTGTCAGGTAGTTGTAAATAAATAACAATAATAATAACATTTTAAGTAATGGTTCGAAATTATATTTTTATTCTATAGTGTCGCCATATTCTGGTAAGTATTGAGCAGGTGGAAACAGGATTAGAACAGTTTGGTTGATAAATTCTGCTTGGTTCTCATTTATTTTCTATATCTGTCTCTCCAATGGCGCTACAGCTCAAATCGAGCCTTGACCTACTCCAAACTGCATCCAACCTTGCCGGTCCTGCGCCGTTCTTCTCCAGGTTCTCACATCTACCTGGTCACTCGATACCAGCCCATCTAATTATCTGAGTGAATTTTCTCGTCTTCTGAATTCTCTGAGATCGGTGCATCTTTGACCAGTTGGTAGAGTTCATGATCGTACCTGGATCTCCATACTCCGTTTTCGTTAATAGGTCCAAATATCTTCCTTAGGACTTTTCGTTTGAAGACTTCCAGCTTTCGTTTTGTTTCTTCTGTTATAACCCACGTCTCGCATCCATAACATACTATTGGTCTGATAATAGTTTTGCAGACCCTAATTTTCGATCTCCTATGTGTGTTTTTGGAGCGGAACACATGGGACAGGTAAATTTGTTTCCCTTTGCTATTCTTAATTGAATTTCTGATTCTTCTGTTCCATCCATGTTTAATGTAACTCCCAGATATGTGAAACTTTCTACAATTTCAATATCGTCCCCGTAGTTCAACTTTGGGTCTGTTTCCCCTAGCTCTTGCCTGTGCTAGTTTTTGTTTTGTTTTTTGAATATTTATTTCTAGTCCGGTCTCTTCTGCCTTGTTTTTAATTATAAATATATTTCTGCCGCATCTTCTGTTCTGCGAGATATAATGCTAATGTCATCGGCATAGGCGGCAATCTGTATTTATTTGTTAGCAGATTACCTCTTCCTATCTTCAGCAGTATTATCACATATTCAAAAGTCAGATTGGAATATTGTCGGTGCCAGCTCGTCTCCTTGTTTTTAATCCTTTGACTATTGAAACGTTCTCAGTAAGCTCATTTTGTACTCTGACAGTTACTGTTGACGAGTTCATTGTTGCTTTTACTAGTCTGATGTATTTGGCATAGGAACTTCCTGGTCCTATGCAATGGCTACTTGATCGCCCACTAAATGAAGTGTATATAAGGTTGTTTCGTCGTTTAATGGTATATCCATTCCATTTCTTCGTGTTTTGAAGAGTATTGGAGATGATTGCCTTAGTCCCTTATTTACCTTAAAATTCTCGGAGAATTGGTTGTTAATCTTTATTTTTGATCGACGATCGTTGTAGAATCGTATTGCTTTTACAGGTGTAATATTAATAGATGATATTTCCACTATTTGCCATTTATTTTTATCTTATTTGTTTAACGTGGATTTTAGGAAATTCTTTAAAGTCAAGAGGTATTTTATTCATTATCTAAAAACTTGCAAAATTTTAGATCAAATATCTTAGTGACATCATACAATATCTGAGGTGTTACTGATCTCTTGTCTTCTATTTTTTCGTCGTTCATCTGTTTTAATATGTCTTATTAGTGTTAATCTTTTTTAATAATAAATTTTCAGCGAATCTGTGAATATTTCAAAAAATTATGTATTTCAGCTATTTTTTTTTCAAAAATTTTGATTGTGACTATTGAAAACTCATTTATTTACAGTTGTAATTTCTTAGAAGTTTAAATACAGAAAATAAGTGTTTTTATTGGGAATTGATATCAGACTTCAAGGTCTATCCGATATTAAGAGTTTTACAGATGGTTCGTCATTTTTTAAACTTCCAAATCAGAGTAAGTCAATAGTTTTAAATGATCTCTTTCGATCCATGCAACTAGTAGTACATCAATACGGCTAAAGATAATATTTTTAAAGTTAATTGTGGTTTATCGTTGTTTTTGCTTGGAAACGAAGGTTGGTATAATAAAAATATGCTTTCGCAAACTTTTTTTACTCATGTAATTTATATGCTTTATGAAGATAAATTATTTAGAGAGTTTTATGTTTCTTATGTAAACTGAAAAATGTTATTTATGAACGACTACCTGCTTATACCTGGACGTTGTTTTACTTTATTGTGCTTATTGGCGATATCGGACAAGAATTTGTGATAGATTTTATTTTTGTGGTGGTAAATTTACCAGAAAATTCCAGGGTAGTTGCAACACAACCTTCCTATCCCATTTACAGACTTCCAAAATATATAAAAGTTTCTTTTCTGATATCGTATTTATAGATGAATGAATATTGAAAAATATAATTCTTGATTATTTTTCTTTGTCATCTGTGTGCAGGAGACAAGTTGTAGCAATTCGGTCTGTATATTACAGATTATATTAATAAAAGACATATAGATATGTGTTTTGTTTGGATAGTGTGACGACGAAAAAGTCTTTTGGAAAATAACAGCTTCCACAACGAAAAACCTCTTTTGCAAAATCGGGAATAAGTAAAAGTGTTCGGTAAGTATTTAGGAGTATTGAGCTGGCACCCAAGCCGTAGAGATTTCTGTTCTAAATCGGCGAGTAACTTACGTTGCAATAAGATCCTTAACTCGAATTCAATTGAAGACCTTATTGCAACATAATGGTAAGCCACAAAATAAGAAAGGTGATAAAGCTCTAAAATGCATAAACATTTATTATTTTACAGAAAAAAAATTAAAAAAAAGTGGCTTAACATGTTCTTCGATTTAAAAAATCGTAACACTATATTGGAAAAAATAATAAAATTATATATCTACAATTTCCACTTCTTCATTATCATTGTCAGTACATTCTTTTAGACGATTATAAAAAGTATGGTAGACTGGCGGAATATAAGGTACTAAGCTTTTTATATTATTTATTTTATTTTTTGCAATTTTCAAAGGCTGTTTGTATTTTTTTTAATGTTTGACAACTCTATTGTTACAAGTCTGCCTTTTCTTATGACAACAACTTCTTGATATTCTCCATTGTCACTATGGTTATCAAAAAATGACCCAACATTTTTTGATTTAAATTGAAAGCTGTATGTTCCAGCAAAATCTAAGCTCTTCTTGTTAGGAAAACGTGCGTTTTTATTAAAATTATTTAGAAGAGGGCCAAAACTGTAAAAATCATTCTGTGTCATCTGTGTAACAAAAGGATTCTTTTTATTTGCTTTCATAATATCTGCCTAACCTTCTGGCGAATAAAAAGCTGGTGCACGATTTCTCTGGCGTTTGTCAATTTAGATTCCCTTTTTGTTTCTCGAAGCGTGAACATGTAGCGTCATTAAAAGCGCTAGAGAACTTCCTTATCCTAAAACTACCTAATTAACTAGTAATTATCTTATCAGCATCAAAAAATTGTTAAAGTGAAAAGCAACAAAAACTAAGTGATTAGTGAAACAAACAAAAGAAATATGTTCTTTTCGGGGAATTTATTAGGATTTGATAATAATTCCCAACCAAATTATCAACAAAAGAATACTATATAGGATGTCCCAACAATAAATAACCAGAACCAATCAAACCAAACAGCAGTAAAACCGCAAGTACTATTTTTGTATTTTAATCAAACACCATCTAACCAAATAACAAATCAAATGTCATGCCTAAAATAAATACCTATTCCAACCCAAATATCTATACCAAACCAAGTACAATTTTCTTGTCAATCAACTGCACAAAATATTCAAAACACTGAAAACCCTATTCAGTCCCAATATACAATAATATCCACAAACCCTCAATGCTCACTCCCATCATCACAAAACACCAATAATAACGAAACAAAAAACGAAAATAAACATCCTTGGCAAGAAGTTCGCAATAAGAGAAAAAGGGTGAAAAGACAAACAACTTTAGAAATTCCCATCCAAATACAAAACAAATTTAATTCCCTCTCAAAAGAAAATCTAAATGAACACACAATTTTTCAAATACACAAAACACAAATATAACCAAAAAAGATCCCTCACTGCCACCAATCTATATTTATGGAGTTACTGACTATAGTGCTATGATAGCAAACCTTGCAACTGCTGCAGAAACCTGTTACACCAAAACCGTTTCAAATAACACAGTAAAAATTAACCCTACAAACTCCTACAGGACACTCATACTGCACCTTAGAAAAGAAAACATTGTACATTACACTTACCAACCGAAACAATAGAGGGCCTATAGAGTTGTCATAAGAGGATTACACCATTCAATACCCACAGGAGATATGTCTCATGAATTAAATAATAAGGGTTTTAATATTCGCAGCATAATTAATGTTAGTCACCAAAGAACCACTGCCCCTATTCTTTGTCGATATAGAGCCAAATGAAAACAACAAAAACATATTTAACCTGCAAATCCTACGAAACTGCATAATAACAGTAGAACCACCTAGAATAAAAAATACAATAGTACAATGCAGAAGGTGTCAAAAATACGGGCACTCAAAAAGGTACTGCCTGAGGCCATTCGCCTGTGTTAAATGCGGTGGATCACATGACACAAAAACCTGCAAAAAAGCACGCGACACACCAGCAACATGTGCCTTATGTAATGGCAATCATCCAGCAAACTATAAAGGATGTGCTATATTATGAAGACCTAGTAAATTCGAAAAACAAAAATATTCGTATACCTAGAGTTGAAAGCCTAAATAATAATAACACTAGTGCTTACCACATACGCCAATCACATGTAACAACAATAATTCAGACCTTTCAAATAAACTTACAGAATTCCCCAATGAATTTAAAGATATGTTTGCATAATTGATAAACCAAAACAGCATGCTTACAACAGTGATAAATAGAATGTCGTAATGGCTAACTCACTTAAAATAACAGAGTGAAACGCAAATGGTCTAACAAACCATGTGCAAGAAATTATACTATTTCTAAAATTAAACAAAATAGACATCCTACTTATATCAGATTCACACACAACTGAGAGGTATTTTATAAAAATTCCACACTACTCTGTTTATTACTCAAACCATCCACATGGAGCAGCCCATGCTGGCTCAGTTGTAATGATTCTTACAAGAACTTGTTCCATATATCACCAACAAAATTCTACTAGAATTCTATCATAAAAGTACATGCGCTCACCTTCCCATTAACAATAGCTTCTATCTACAGCCCACCACCATACCATCAATTTGGAGGAATGCACAGGATTTTTTGAACAACTTGGCTCACATTTCTTAGTGGCAGGGGTCTGGAATGCAAAACATACAACCTAGGGAGCAAGTCTGCGAAAAGACAGAAATGTATTAAAGATCATAAAAGATAATAATCTGAAATACCTAACAACTGGTACTTCCACATACCTGCCCACTGATAACAACAAAATTCCTGATCTGTTAGACTTTACTATAAGTAAGGGAATACCTGAAATACACAGCGATATCACCCCCAGTTTTGATCTACATTCGGACCACAGTCACATCTTGATTACTTTAAATACCAATATAATTTGGAAAACTCTGGCATCAAGGCTATGTTCCAGTAACACGAATTGGGTTCAATTCAAAGAAGAAATCAATGAAAAAACTACTCTTGCCATTCGACTCAAACACAAAAACGATATTGAAGAAGCTGTAAAATATCTAACTGAACAAATACAACAGGCCGCTTGGAAAGCTACTCCTGTAAAGGAAAAAACCATTGATGAAAGATATAGTATTACCCTCCACATCAGGTCACTAGTAGAAGAGAGAAGAGCCCGTCGATAATGGCTAAGAACTAGAAAAGCGATAGATAAAACAAATCTAAACAGGCTCACACATAGACTTCATTCCGCTATCCAAACAGCCAAAAACGAATCCTTTGAAAGATGTCACAAACCTTTCTCTTGACGACAACTTTCTTTGTCAAGGCACAAAGAAATTCAAAAAGTAATGAAATCACCAATTAGGAAAAATTGTGGAACCTGGGCTCAGTCAAATATAAAAAAATCCAACAGATTTGCAGAACATCTATCAACCGCCTTCTCCACCCACAGGCCAACGATATTAACGACGAGAAAATTAGAGACTTCCTTAATGCACCCCGTCAGCTATCATTACCACTAAAATACTTCTCACCAAACGAAGTTCGTAACAAAATCAACCTGCTTAACCATCATAAAGCTCCAGGATTTGACCTTATTACTGGCGAAATCTTAAAAAATATCCCAAGAAAAGATGTCGTCTTAATAACCATTATTTTTAGTAAGCTCCTAGGACTATGCTATTTTCCAGTGCAATGGAAGTATGCAGAAATTATAACGATATCTAAACCTGGTAAACCTCTAACTGAAGCCAGTTCGTACAGACGAATAAGTCTCCTTCCAACTTTATCAAAAGTCTTCGAAAGGTTAATCCTAATTCTAATCGAATAGAAACAGTAATACCCATAGAAAACCTTATCCCAGATCATCAGTTTGGTTTTCGCTCAAATCACTCAACCATACAACAGTGCCATCGATTAGTCAACCAAATAAAAGAGTGCCTAGAAGGGAAACAAATCTGTCGTATCAGCATTCCTCGATATACAGCAAGCATTTGATACGAGTGTGGCACGAGGGTCTTCTCTTTAAAATAAAAACTCAGCTGACCAAATCTACCTCCTCCTTAAATCGAAGAATTAAGATGTCCACAACTACACCTAAATAATTCACCTATACCGATAAAAACAGATGTAAAGTATCTGGGCCTTCATCTAGACGAAAAACTTGGAAATCACATATTTCAGCCAAACGACGACACCTCGACCTAAAGGTTAAAAATATGAGCTGGCTAATCAACAGAAGATCGCAACTTTCATTAGAAAACAAACTGATCAGCTATAAAACAATACTCAAACCAGTGTGGACATACGAAATTGAGCTGTGGGGCTGTAGCAAACCATCCAACACCAAAAGACTCCAGACATTCCAGTCAAAAACTATTCGTATGTTAGCTGAAGCCCCAGGGTATGTGTCAAACCAAACCCTTCATGCAGACCTTAATATCCCCTTCATCAATGATGTGATTGCTGACCACTCCAGAAGATACATGAATCGCAGCGCAGACCGTCCAAACCATGTCATTGACGAATTATTCAACCCCCCACTGGTTGACAGACGTCTAAAAAAATGGCCAGAAGACCTAGCTCCTAGGTAAATTCCAGAGAGTAGTCAACGGACGACACTTGCCACCAGCTAAGAACATACATCATATTTACTTATTACTGTATTGAAGTAGATTGTAAATTAGCAATAAATAAATAAAAAAAAAAAAGTTTGTCAATTGGAGCAAAATCCCGGTCTGATGACATAAGAGAATGACCACTAACGAGAAAATGATGTGTTATTTGTTTAAATTTCTTTTTCTTGACTAACTGCAACTAAAAAGCCATTAATTG